ACAAGGACCGCTTCCTGCTGACTTGGCAAATACACAGAGACACACGGTAAGTGGCGGAAGATCATTTCTTATCGGAGGCCTAGGACGCAGGCCAGCAGGGAGGGGCCGGGCTCTGCGCCAACAGCTCCCCCCACCAGGAACACACAAAGGGGCCCCGACCTGCCGGAGGCATCCGTGAAGCGAAGGGGCAGAGGGGCAGCGTTGGTGAGGGGCCCCCAGGCAGGGGGGAATCGGGGAGGCGGGAGGGGGCTGGCAGGAAGGGTGGGCACTGCAGCCGCCCGCGGCCTGTCTTCTTTCTGTAAAAGCAACAAGCCCGTCCAGCACAGAATGGCCATCACCTTCCTGCCACCACGGCTGAGAGCCTCTCAAGCGCCAGAGCAGAAAGCGGCTTTTACGGTGAGCCAGCTGGGAAAATGATTCTCAGCGGACTCACTTCTCCGGGCTACCGGGGTTTTAATCTCCCCGGCTGGGGGCACGACCTCTGCTACGGACCGCACTTCCCTGAGCCCGTCCGCTCATCTGCACAATGGGTATAAGCACACGGCACCCGCTTGCCCCGCTCTGTGTGAGCAGGAGACGGGCGGATGCAGCGCCATGCCTGGGCCATTACAAGGGCCCAACGAGGTCGCCAGAGACCCCATTCTGGCTTTTCTTCCTGTTTAATTCTTCTTTTATATTCTTGCCCTCACATGCCCCCTGATGATCCTCTATCAGCCTGTATATATCACGTATGGATCCGTTCGGGACTTACTTTGAAAGAGTATTTTCAAAATAGGGGCGCCTGGGTGGCTCAGTCGGTTGAGCCTCCAACTTTGGCTCAGATCATGATCTCGCGGTTCGTGGGTTCGAGCCCCGCATCAGGCTCTCTGCTGACAGCTCAGAGCCTGGAGCTGCTTCGGATTCTGTGTCTCCCTCTCTCTGCCCCTCCCCTGTTCACACTGTCTCTCTCTCTCTCAGAAATAATTAAAAATAAAAAAAATAATAATAAGTAGGAGAAAAAGAGAGAGAGGAAGACTTCAAGAGAGGCTTTGGGGGAAGAGTTCCCTTAAATCCCATCCGTACCAGCCCGGTGGCCCCCTCTCCCCAGGCCGCCACAAGGGTGCTCCGTCCACAAAGCGGGACCTGCAGCGTCTGGCTCCATGGTGAGGGGAAGCAGGCTCCAAACACCGGCAGCAGCCAAGGGTCCCTGCGACCGGCAGCCACTTCCTGGGGGGGCTGGGTTCAGGCAAGCTCCGCCTAAGTCAGGAGTCAGGGGACGTCTGTCCCCTCCTTCACTTCTTAAAAACTTACTATGACAGCAAAGCCTAGATCCTTTGGAATTACAATTTTTCAGATGAAATACAAAAGTATATATGTTTTTAAAACAACAGGCATAGGGGCGCCTGGGGGCCTCAGTCAGTGAAGCGTCCAACTCCCGACTTCAGCTCAGGTCATGAGTTTGAGCCCCATGTGGGGTTTCCATGTGGGATTCTGTCTCTGCCCTTTCTCACTTGTTTTCTCTCTCTAAGAAAATAAATTTAAAAAATTTTTTAAATAAAGTAGGCATAAAAAACTATTAAGATGGCCTTGCTTACGGGCAACCAACGTTTGTGACGGATTCTGGCGACTAACAAGCCAAGGTTCAAAGACCCCAACCAAGAACAGTCATTTCAAAATGCCTAAACTCACGGGGTGCCCTGGCGGCTCAGTCAGCTAAGCGTCCGACTTTGGCTCAGGTCATGATCTATTCATGGTTGGTGGGTCCGAGCCCCACGTTGGGCTCTGTGCTGACAGCTCGGAGCCTGGAGCCTGCTTCCGATTCTGTATCTCCCTCTCTCTCTGCCCCTCCCCTGCTCATGCTCTGTCTCTAAAATAAATGAGCATTAAAAACATAATAATAAAAAAATGCCTAAGCTCAAATCCGTCTCCTTTCAACTACTAACACAAAAGCATTAAACCGTGTAGAGTTTGCCTACTGTTCTAGGTCTCCAGGCTGGCAAGGAAGTCCCATGAGGGACCCAGGCGGAGGCGCATCCCTCCCGACGCCCACCCGAGCTGACCTCCCCACCCAGGGTCCCGGCGATACCAGCTGCTCGGGAAACACGAGGAACTTGGCATTTCCCTGCAGTGCACACCTCAAACGCGCGTGTGCTGTGCTTCCTGGACGCCGTGGGCCCGGAGAACAAGCCCAACACCAGCAATCCTCAAATGCATATTTTGTGAAGGACTTATGTTACTTTGTTACCAACAGCTAACTAGCTGCTGCGTGGATACACAGTGAGAAAGAAGCAGCCAGGGCAGCTGAGGCCGTACAGGACCCAATGGGGCAGCGGGAAGAGGCTTCTCTGCAGGGGATGACATCGCTAAGGAATGAAGCCCCCCGTGTACAGCGCAGGCTGGACTGATCAGTCCCAGGATTCTTTCCCCCTGGGCCCGCACACAGCCTCAGAACCCTTCCCAACCCAGCAAGGAGCAGGCAGCCATCATACGTGCGGCGGAGTCTGCTCTCAAGCGAAGCCGCCTTGCCACCCCAGCGCTGCCCCTAACGGGCTCCCGGGTCACCGCCCTCACTCGCGACATCATCCTTGACTAACACTTCCTGGGCACGCCCTCAACGGCTGGTGAGACTTCCCCCCTTCGGCCTGTCATCCCCACACGGCCCAAGGGCCAGTGCCACCGCACTCCACGTGGTCCCGTGAGGACAGAGGCTCAGCGATGAGACGGGGTGCAGGCGGTGATCTGCGCCCCCCCTGCCCGCCGCCTCCCCCTGGAACAAACACACTGCGTCTCAGAGGAAAAGCCAAGCCCCTGGAGTGCTACCCCCCTTCACTTCTCCACCCACGAGTGAGGAAGAGGAGCCCCAGAGCTCGAACCACGGACCCTCGGAGGGGTTCCCACGGCCCCCCCCACTCAGAGGTGGTAGAAAAGGACCCCGCCGGCTTTGCAGGGCCCATCCGGCGCCTCCCAGGTGCACAAGCCCCCCGCCCCCCCGAAGGTGCCAGAGCCTGCTGCGCACTCCGCTCTTAATTACAGCCGGAAAGCCGTGGGGCTGAGAAGCAGCTCAATGATGCAAAAGCCGCCAAAAACCTCTCGGATTGAGTGCATTCCACACTGTGCGCTCTTCACCCCAACAGCAAGTAGTGTGGACGAGCAGATCAACACCACCGAGTCAACACGTTCACAATGTATTCCGAAGCTTCCCAATCTGTTGTTTCAGCCTCTGCATAATATGGTAAACAGCAAACAGAATCACCAGCAAGTAAAGCTGTTTTGCATCCGAGACCTAAAAAGCTAGAGCTGACGCGGAAGAGGAAACCTGCTTCCCCAGGGTGTGTCTTTTATGTGACGGAACCGCTATTTGGAAACTGGGAAACAGGTAAAGGTACCTACCTGCCCCCTGCCAACCTCACGGGGGGTGGAAATGGATCACACGGAGCGCTTAACAACGGCCCCCAGCAAGCACTTACCCGCTTACATCGTATAAACATCCCTTAATTATTCTGATGACCGGAGAGGGAGAACTGCGGCAAAGCAAGTTCGGGATGTGCGGTAACTATGAACTCCGGGGACTTGAGACAGGAATTCAGAGCAGAGCTCCTCTGATGAGTGGGGGGGTTGCCAAGGCGACGACTCTTTGGGGACCCAGCAGGAAGGGCCAGGATGCTGCGAAAACCACACAGAGTCAGCTGTTCCTAAAGAGCCCGTCTCTGCACAGGAAAGTAAGGAACATAAAAGCCGCCGCTGTGGGCTCAGAGTCACAGTTTCCATCTCTTACGGAAGCAAGGATTCCAAGAGATGTTAACGGGCCACCGGGGGAGGGGAGGGGGAAGCCGGGTCTGGTACAAGCAGACATGCCTACGTGTGTTTCTCTTGTAAAAAACCACCCCTCCCCCAGGCCACTCCACACCCCCACGACTCGGGGAACAAACAAGCGAAATGCTGGGTTTGAAGATTGCGAGCAGGATAATAATGAAAGGAAACTTTACAAAGCCACACCAAAAGCTCCCCTGAAACCCACTTCCTCTGGGCCAGAGAGAGGAAACACAGCACCGCTGTTTCCAGTGATTTCCACCCCACCTCCCTAAGGAATCTGTTGCAATCCAGGAGCTGGACAGAGTCGCAGACGAGCAGACAGTGCATTTCCTCTCCGACCGGGAGCTGCCCCTTCCCCCCCTCCAGGCACAGAAGCGGCACAAAGAAGAGGCATTTTGTCTTTGGAGCAAAGGGTGTGGAGTCGCTCTTCTCCTCGGAGGCAGGTTCTTCAGAGAAGAAGGGCCCTACCTGGCTTCTCTTACCATAGACCATTCTAGAACCCACCATGTGCATGGCCCTGGTCCTCACCTCCTCACATGCCTCCTCAGTCTCTTTCCCTTCTCATCGATGAGGAGACCCACCGACCTTAAACATGACCTGCGGTTAATGTTCTAAGGGGTCCGACAGATCAGCAAGGTGGTCACGTGACTGTCTGGACGGACCACGAATTCTAAGAGTCCTGCCTCCCTGGCCGAAGAGACAAAACTCATCACAAGGCCTTTTCCTGTATGTTGCCACAAAGAAAGACACGATTCCATTTTTATGTTTAAGGTAAATCAGGGACGCTCAGGTGGCTCAGTCGGTTAAGCGTCTGACTCTTGATTTTAGCTTGGTCATGATCTCACAGTTCGTGAATGTGAGCCGCACGTGGGGCTGGCTGTGCGCTGACCGCGCGGAGCCCTGCTTGGGACTCTCCCTCTCCTCTCTCTTAAAATAAACTGTTAAAAATAAAAGTAAATCCGAGGGCTGTTGGAAATCACTTCCAAGTTTGCAAAATGTCCTGAACAGGCTGCAAGCTACCGCTCACCCGGGCGCATCACTAATTCTGCAGCTGCTCTGTCCTCACTGTCTGGGAATCCAGATTCCTCCCCACCCACCCCACTGCCTGGGGGAAGCCCACCAGTGCCCCCGCACGGGGCTGCCCTCCCACCCCCTGCACTAGACTTTCCGAAGTAATGCCGACCGCGACCCACGCGCCACACCACAGCCCAGCCACCATGAACCGCCTGCACTTCCCCAAAAGGGCCGCGCTAGGTTCTCCTCCAGGGCCCCTGGCGGGAAGCCCCACACCCCACCCTGGCCTCTGGCTAAATCCCCAGCCTCCCTTTGCATTCAGCCAGAAGGGGGGACCATTTCTTCCAGCAGGAGCAGAATGTGCGTCCCCCAAAGGTCTCGATCACCAGCTCCTGAGGACAGGCCGGGGCCATCACTGCCCACCCGCAGTTCCCAGCCTGCCAGGTAAGCACCTGCGTCCTTAGGTCCTAGAAGTCAGGGGCACCTCCTCCCTCCGCTGTCCCCCTCCCCGCTCTGGGGGGATCTGGCTGCATTTCCTCTGAGCTTTCAGGAAAGGTCGTTTCTTCTGGGGAGGGGCGCTCACCCATCTGGCACTCTGGGAATCTGCCCCCAACAGGACCCGGCTCACCAGGAGCCTGTGACCGGTGCGGGGGGCCCCGGGAGGCCGTGTGGATTCTCCCCGTCAAGGTGAACAGAGAGCCCCAGGTGCTGAGCCCCAGGCCAGGCAGGTTCACGGTGTGGCCACGGGGGCTTCTCTACTAGGGGGCGGGGGGGGCGCTGAGGGGTCTGGAGCAGGGCCCCCACCACCTGGGACTACTCCTCCTTCCCTTTGAGCTCTTGAAACAAACACCCGGGTATCCACCCGGGCGCTCTGATGGGGCATCTGGGGCCAGTAATTCACTGCTGTGTTGTCCCTGCACAAGCTCTCTGTCCCCTGCGTTATGGGACGCGTACAGTGCTCCTGGCCCCCATGCACTAGATGCCGGCAGCACCCAAACCCCAGTCGTGACCACCAGACGTGTCCCCAGACTCTGCAATGTCCCCTGGGGGCAGAATCACCCCCAGTTGAGAAGCACTGAACCCAGGGTGAAGTGGCTATTGGGTGAGGTTGTGTTTTCTCAGCTATAAAAGGAGAGGGAAATTCCTGCCCTGAATATAACTTGCAGCGAGTTAAAAATTCCTACCTCGAAGGGCAAATTACACAGCATCTCTATCCAGGTGTTCTTATTAGGGCAGTGTGTAAGCAGCGTGCTGGGGTCCACACAGCACCAACGTGGCTGATCACTCCGTAAAAGATGGGGTGATCACCAGAATTAAGATTGGTGGGGTATGGGGCGTCTGGGTGGCTCAGTCGATTGAGTGTCCAACTTTGGCTCAGGTCATGATCTCATGGTTTGTGGGTTCAAGCCCTGTGTCCGGCTCTGTGCTGACAACTCAGAGATTCTGTGTCTCCCTGTCTCTCTGCCCCTCCCCTTCTCATGCTCTGTCTCTCTGTCTCAAAAATGAACGTTAAAAAAAATCTTAAAGATGGGTGGTATAGAGATTTTTCTCCTGGAAGTTACGTAAGACACTTGATACTTTCAACCTTCAGTTCAAGGCCACAGCCACCTCGTGATCCCTTTAGATTTAGATCCTGTGGGAGGTCTCCATCGATAATCTTGCTCATTTATCGACGCTTCTGCATCAAATGCTTAGAGGACCAGCAGGGGTGAGCCACAGACTAGGGAAAAACATCTACAAAAGGCTCGCGTGCATCTGAAATACACAAGGAACTCTCAGCATTCAACAGTAAGAAATCAAACAACTCGATTAAAAACGAGCCAGAGATCTGGACACCTCCCCAGTCGGCATACTCCGCAGAGAGGTCGTCAGGGAACGTGAACCTGACCGCTCTAAGAAAGTACACTGACAAAAACAAATTAAAAAAAAACAGAGAATAAGAACTTCATAAATGCTTTCTTTCCTCAGAACGAGGAACAGGTGTCTGGGCTGAGGACAGGTCGTCAGATGGGGGCGGGAGGCCTCCATTCAGCCCCGTCCGTCCAGGGCCATCCTGGCCCCAGAGCTGGCAGCTGCGGTCCCTGGGATGCCCCCTCCCGGTCCTCCGTGGCCGCGTGGGGCACCCGGCGTGGGCAGTCTCTCCTCTGCGCCTGCTCGGCCCAGCTCCAGCAAAACCAAACCGGCTTCTAATAAGTTGCTCCCCAAAGCCTCTGGGCCTTCTACGGGGAGCTTTGGGGTTTTTCATGGCTTCCTTCCCACACTTTCCGATGTCCACAGTTAGTCATAGTTCTGTTTTCTAAACCGGGCCACCACGTGACACAAGCGGTTCCCTCCCAGAGAACATCAGCCTTAATCACGCCGTGCATTCGGCCCCGGGCACTTCCTGCACTGGCTCCTCCAAACCCCAGGGCGACGCATTTCCTAAAGTGATCTCGCCCCGCAGGTGACAGGACGCTCACCTCCACGTGTCTCTCTGTGCCCTGTCACAGCCACAAGCTCTGCCTGGGAGGGGGAGGGGGCGTGCCTCACCTCCCGAAACACCCCCTCCCTTCCAGGGCCGCCTCGCCACCCGCGCTCCTGAATCCGCCACCAACTGTAACAAAAAGGAAAATGAAACCCACCGTACACCTGGCAGTGCCTGACCCCCTTCCTGGTGGCTCCATGGTGGGCAAACGAGTGACATGCCACAGGGGCCTGAAGTCCAGGCCAGGTCCCGCCCCGGCTCACGAACTGCTGGAACAGCATGGAGACCGGAAGGGCGCGCTGCCAAGCCACGGCCGCCTGTCATCATCCGGTCTCTGCCTCCATGCTGCCCACCGCCCAGAAGAGCAGTCGGAAGCCACTAAGCCCTTCCAAGCCCAGCCTCGCCCCCAGTTCCTACATCTGAGCCCAGTTAGGGCTTTTCAGTCTTTTGTTGGCATGGGGGAACCCCGAAGCATGCCAGGCACCCCAACTTGGAGCACCGAGGCAGAGGCACCTGCCTATAACACACACACCAGCAACCACAGCAAACCACAAGCATCGCTGCGGCTTCCTGTCTCCGCTCTGCAACACAGGATGCCTGCGGCCCCCGGGATTCATGGTGTGTTTCCACCAGACCAGACTGGCCCTCAATTTACTAGACGCGCGCTAGTTCCAAAAAGCAAAGACGAGAAGCATTTCGCTTCGGAACTTGCGGCCAGTCCATCACTTCAGGCCTGTGTTCTTCCGATTCCGGGAGCATAAATGTCACCCCCTAAAAGGCTGTAGCAGTCCAGAACATTCCACCTATTTGCCATTCCGCGAGAGACGTCTTTCGCTCTTCTTTCTGATCTCAACCCATACATGACCTGCTGTGAGCCCTTCTCTACTTGCTGGCACTTTCCACGTTTCCTTCAGGGACACAGGGCTCTGTTTACTTATCACAAGGGACTCCGCATTCCCCGAAAGCAAGAAGCTTGGCCGGGGACGCCTGGGGGCTCAGCCGGTTAAGCGCCGACTCTCACGGTTTGTGAGTTCTGGGAGTTCGGCCCCGCATAGGGCTCCAAGCTGACAGTGCAGAGCCTGCTTGGGATTCTCTCTCTCCCTCCCTCTCCCTGCCCCTCTCCTGCTCACTCTCTCTGTCTCTCCCAAAAATAAATAAATAAGCTTTAAAAAAAAATTAAAAAAAAAAAAAGAACCTTGGCTGTCTCTTCTTCTGAGGATGAACAAATTGGGAGAAAATGTCACTTCTGCCTGTAATTGAGGCCCTGGAATGACTTTTGTTGAGGGCGATGTGGGCGACTGAGGAGGTCTGACTTGAGAGGAGTGGCCGGTCCTGTTCTGGGTTATTCTGAAGCCACTAAAGGGTGACAAGGCCCTACCTACAGGGAACTGAATAATCTAATTTGGTAAAAGCTTCCCGAACACCCCCACCTCAACAAAAATCCCTGAAGGGAACCCATCCCCTAGAGGGGAAAGTGCCCCCTGTCCCTGGTTATACCCGCATCCCAGTCCCAGAGGAAATTTACGGGGTTACAGTGCCCTGCGTGTATGCATCCTTGGGGTATGTGAGGGGGACACCACAGGCTTTCTGGGGGTAAGTCGGCCTCAGGGGGTTTCAGGAGATCAGTGGACACACCCCTCTCTCGCAATCAGCCTGAGCCCCCCCCCCGCCTTATCACAGCTGCCTCTTCCCTGCTTTGTAAGCTCAGCTCACCCAGGCCCATCCGGGATCCGTCCCGGAGGAGGAATCTCCAGGCCAGAACAAAGGGAAAATTCAGGAATGCAGGCTCTCCTCCTAGAGGCCCTGGGGACCGCGGCGCACTTGAGGCGCACAGGCCGGCAGAAGTCCCCTGCGGCTCCAAAAAACTTTTAAAATGTAAGAGGAGGCAGATAGTTCTTGGGAATTACCTTCCTCGGCACAGAAGGGGGAGGGGAGCCCTAGGTCGCAGCCCCCACCCCCCCCTTGACCGGCGCACTCGGCGCCCCCTTCCTTCCTCCTGGCTCTAGGGCGGGGGCGGCGTCCCCCGCACCCAAAACACCAAGCGGGCCCGGCCCGTGCCCAGCGGACGGACGGTGGCCACGCACGGCTACGAGCGGGCGACCCGCAGGCGGTCTGGGTGGGGGGCGACTCCAGCCCGCGTGCGCGCCGCAGGGCCCCCCCAGGGCCCCCGACCCCGACTCGGCTCCACGGCCGCCTTCCGCTCCCGGCCAGGCTCGCCCACGTGCCCCCGGCCGGCGTTTAAAGGGCCCGAGAGGAGGAAGGAGCAAGTGAGGGTCAAGGCCTCTCCTGAAGGTCACGGCGGCGCGCCGCGCGGGCCCGCGGGGTCCGGGCAGCGGAGCGCGCGTGCCCGGGAGCCACCCGCTGCGGGGCCCGGCGGGGCGGGGACGCGGGGACCCGGCGTGGGGGGGAGGGGCGGGGACCCGGCGTGGGGGGGAGGGGCGGGGACGCGGGGACCCGGCGGGGGGCGGGGACGCCTGCGCGGCCGGCGCACTCACCCTCCCTGGCCTTCTTCTTCCTCGCCAGCGTGCCGCCGAGCTTGCCCAGGAACGACTCGTCCTTCTTCATCCTGGGGGGCCGCGGGGGGGGCGAGCGCCGCGGCGCGGACGACATGGGCCGCCGGCGGGCGCAGCGCGAGTGGGAGCCGCCCGGGTCGCCGCCGCCGCCGCCCGCTCGCCCGGGGAGGGGCCGGAGGGCGCGGCCCCGCCGCCCAACCCCCGCCCCCGCCCCCGCCCGCCCCCGGGGCCGCCCAGGCCGCCGCCGTCCCGGCTCCGCGGTCGCCGCCTGGAGCCCCCGTCCGGGAGGCGGGGGGCTCGGCTCGGGGGCCGCGGCGGCCAGACCCCCCAGGGCTCGCGGCGGCCTTTTTATCTCGGGGGCTGGTGCCAAGGCTCCGGTCGGGAGCGCGGCCGCCGCGCGTCCCAGACCGCGACTCGCTTGTTGAACTTTTGCGCTGAGCCGGGCGGGGGTCCCCAGTGGGCGGACCCCACCCCTAAGGAGCGGCGGTGGGGTGGGCCGCGCCGGCCGATGGGCGCCCTCTGTACCCCTTCCTCGGCCCTAGGGAGCTCGGGGTGCTTCCCAGGAGGTGAGGGTTCCAGGGCTGACCTGGAATCGGGGTCAGTGTTCAGGCAGAGAGAAGAGAGGGGCCGGAGGGGACAGGATGGGGCCCCAGGGAGGGGAGAAGAGGTCAGGGCAGACCCCGCAAGCGCTGGAGGCCGAGAGAGGCTTTTCAGACTGGGATGACGTGATCGGAGTTGGGTCCACAAGGTGGACACCTGGACGGTGGGTGAAGGTGTAAGGCCCAGCCTGGGGCGAGGGCCACCAACCCGGGGTCGTGACTTAGGAGGGGAGTGAACAGGAGTTAGGGCTGTTTCCTGCTGGGCTGGGGGGGGGGGTGTCAGAGGGGGTGGGCCTGGGAAGGGCAGGAGAGTCGGGTGGCAAGTGTGGCTTGAGGCTGACACACCCCCCCCCCCCCCCCCCCCCCCCCCCCGTGTGCCCGCTCAGCGCCTGCAGCACTTCTAACACCTGGGGTTACCTGAGCGGGTACCAGGCCCTGTCCGCCCGCTGGGAGGGCAAAGACCGACCCCGAGGGCAGAGCTTGCCCTCCAGGGGAGCACGCTTGACCTGCAGTGACACAGAACCAATGGGTCCTGCTGTTGGGAACCCCGCGAGGTGGGGGAGAACCTTCTGCCTCCGTTCAGTAAAGGGAGAGAGGCCTCCGCAGGCAGAAGGGGGGCTGGACGCCGAGAGGATATAAGTAACAGGCTCCTGGGAGCGTGCATGACGAGACAGAAAGGCACATAGCAGGGTGTGGACTGAGCGTTGGGGGCGGAGGGAACAAGATCAAGGCCACGTTCAAGGAACCCCGAGCCGCTGAGGGGGTCCGAGTAGAGACCTGACACGTCGGATGGATGGGAAAACTGATTGACAGATGGAAGCAGAGACGAGGGCCAGAGAGGAATTCACAAGCCACTGAAACGGGCCAGGTCAGGGCCTTGGAGGCCGTGGTGGAGGGAAGGGACCAGACTGGAATGAGTTCTCAGGGTTGAAACCACAACACTTGGATAATAACTGGGGGTCAGGGTTAGGGTCAGAGGTCACAGAGGCTTCCATCAACCCAGTTGGGGGGAGGGGTGTCTGTAACCGAGCTGGAGAAAACACAGAAAGGTTGTGAACTCGGTTATTGGCATCCCAGTGGGGTCATGGCCTAGTCAGGGCTAGACAGTGCTCTCTGGATGCTGGAGGGAGGGGGCAGGGGGCTCTGGCCCCTTTGAGACTCTGGTGCACAGAACCGACGGTTTGTTCTAGGGAGGTGCGCCTGTAAGATGTCCGATGCCGCTTTGAGGGGCCCACAGTACCCCCCACCCTCCCGCTGCCCCCAGCACACCCACCACCGGCCCCGGTGAGCGGAAAGGTGGCCGTGGGAAGGAACAGGGAGCAGAGCTGTGCTCCTGGGCCGCGTGACCTGGGGGCAGAGGGTACAGTCCTGTGCCCCCTCCCCTCCCCGCCCCCAGTAAATTATCAGTTATTTGAGTATTTCATCAGCAGGTCCGGCTTCCTAGCACACACAGAATTTAGTTTCTGCTTGGTCACTGCTACTTTGAACGCTGCAGGTGGGATCCTGCTTTTAAAAATGTTATTACACCATGAACAGATCTCTCTAGAAGACACCTGGCCCACCTGTTCCCAGCAGGGGCCCTCACTACAACCAGGCGATTCCCAGCTGTAAGAGCAGGACAGTAGGGTTCCTGGAGTTTTGTAGGAATCATTTGTATAAAAACAGAATCATGTTTTAAATGCAGGCATGGTACTTATGACCAAGAAATCCATGCAGAGTGACGAGGTCTGTCTTGTTTATAATCATCCCCTTTCCTGTGGGGAGACAACAGGTGTGTTCACACACACCATCTTCCTCATGGGTTTGGGGCTAGGAGAAAAGGGTGATCTCTTATGAAATGCAGTTTTGAAGATGATTTAAAAAAATTTTTTTTAATGTTTTATTTATTTCTGAGAGAGAGAGCGTGAGCAGGGGAGGGTCAGAGAGAGAGGGAGACACAGAATCCAAAACAGGCTCCGGGCTCTGAGCTGTCAGCACAGAGCCCGACACAGGGCTCGATCCCATGAACCAAGAGATCATGACCTGAGCCGAAGTCGGATGCTTAACTGACTGAGCCCCCCAGGCACCCCTGAAGATGATTTTAAACGATTGTGTTAGTTGTAACAGCTTGTCTAGTGTGTGTGCCACAAATAACAATCGAAGGTTGACTAAACGGCTGGGGAATAATTCGGCTTTTTTTCCGGGCTAGATGAAGGAGGGGCAGTGATCTAACCCCCCAAAACTCTGCTTCCCTCCTGGCCGGTGGATTCCATCCAGCATTCCCACCGGGGTAGCCTAACCAAAACCGCTTTCCAAATCGCCGTACAGAGCAGCAAATGCCGATATTCACTTGAAAAGGGGCAAGTGTTGGTTTTTGATTAAAAAGAGAGGATTTCGCAAGACGCAGAAACGTGATCTCAGCTCCCACACTCACCGGCTCAGCCTTCCTCTCCTCGGCACGTGGCACACGCAGCGGCCGCGCCGGTGCTCTGCATACATTCTACGTTGGGAGAAGAATTACGAAAATCAGAGGACACGCAGCTGCCCCTAGAAAAGAAAACCATTTGATTTGCGTGAAGTTTGGCTTCCAAAGAGGTTGGTTCCTTATAAGCTTAGTTAAGGACAGGGCACGAGCACTGCACGGGCGCGGGCCATTTCCCGGCCGGTCTGGGCCCCTCGCTGCGAGCGCGCTCTCCGCCACTGCCCTTCCATGTTTTCCCGACATCCTCGCTGTCTCTCCCATCCGCGCACAGGCGGCGGCCAGTGCAAACAGAGGTCATTTGTCCCGACGCTTCAGCGGCAGCAAACCGAAGAGCCTTGGGAATAATGAGACAAGACGATCGAAGAACAGACTGGAACATTCGCACAGCGGAATACTACCGAGTCAGCAAAACGAGCGATGGAGCGGAGTCTCCAGAACATTCTGTTGAGAGGCAAGAATGCACAGGAGGGGATCCACTTATCTGAAGTTCAAGAACAGGGGCCTGTTAGCCATGATGGGGTGGTTCCCCCAGGGGCGAGGGACTGGCCTGGATGCGGGCACCGGGAAACACCTGGCAACACACACGTTCCACGTGTTGGTGTGGATGGTAGTCACGGGGTGTAGACCCAGCCTGCCACGCGGGTGTAGACCCAGCCTGCCGAGGATTCGTGCCTCTTCCTGTATGTCACTTATCCGTCCGTAAAGTCTTGGGGGAAAAGAAACTAAATCAATGGTACCAGTGGGCAAGATAATTTGAGTTCTTCACCTCGCTGGCTTTGGGGTTCCATTCCTTAAAAACGTGCCTCTCAAGGCACCGCGGTGGCTCAGCTCTACGAGCTTTAAACAGGATTTTAAAGCTTTGCGCTTTCCCCTACTGCCCTTCCAGAGAACTAAAAAGAAGTGCTTGTCTTTCAAAAACCGAAAAACAGCCCTTAGCTCTTCGGAGGAGGGAAGGGAACTCGTCCAAGGGCGTATGGAGCCTGTGAAACATTTTCGTGTGTTGCTCATTTTCAAACCTCCTAGCGGTGGGTCGTGGGCGTCAGAAGCGTGTAGGGAAGCGCAGGGAGTCAGTACTTCAGGACGGAGACAGTGCTGTCTCTGCCCCAGGTTCTGCGTCGCGTGCGACCCTCCGGCTCCCTGGGGCAGCGTCTTCAAACTCGCCTACGCGCCATCTCTCAAGTTGCCGTTTGGAAGTGCGGTTCCGTCCGTCTGCTGATGGAGAGAGCTGGCGGGAGAGAAGCGTGTGATGTGCGCCGCGGACGCTCGGAGCGTGAGAAGATGACCACCCTCGCCTGGAATTTAAAGCCTGTGGCCGTGACGCGCTCTCCCATACCGCAGGGGAGTGAAACCTGAATCACGGACCGCTGTGAGCAGCAGGCAGCCTGTTACTTGGTGATTTGGGAAACATCAGCAAAGTTTGAAACAAGGGAAGTTGGATTTCCATTTATTAGCAACTCCTCTGAGGTTTCATTTTGCATAGTAGGCAAATTAAACTACATACTCACTTTGTTCCTGAAAACGGTTTACAGAGGAGGAGAGGGCGAGAGGTTGGCACTGAGTTAGTGATTCCTTCCGGGGAGGGGAGCTGGTAAGGCCCCCTGAAAGATTAGGCACTCCCCTCAAGAAAGACTTCCCCCAAACTTTTAGGGAGTAAGCTTCAACCTTGAAAACTGCCAGCACCTTTTACATGGGTGGGAGAACAGAGGCCTATTAGACATTCACACCTTAGTCTGAATTTCTTTCACTATTAACTTGCCTTATATATGTATCATCTGTCTACACAATAAAAGGCTTTGCTTTCCTCCTCCCACCTAACTTGGGAGCGATGAGGGGAGTGACAGCCGTGCTTTGGGTGAGGGGGTGGATGGTGAGGGTGGGGCTCTACCCACTTCCTCCTGGCTACTGGAGGGAGCTGACTCGGCCACCACGGCATCACGAGAACATCGCTGGATCTGGGAAAGACGGTGGTATAGGACAGGGGTCTGTGAGGGGCCAGACAGTGGGTAACTTCAACTCTGCAGCCCACACAGCCTGTCGCTGCTCCTCAACTTTGCCGTTGTAGCCTGAAGGCAGGGCCGATACC